AGAAAGCATGCAGAAAGAAATGAATATGGAAATAACTGCGAATCAAAATATGAGATGATTCCAGAAAACAGCTCAAACTGTGCGGCTTGGTGAAGTGAAGTTTATTAATCTTCTGCTAAGGCAAGCACTAATCATGATTTCTTCTAAATTATTAAAAATTATTTGTCTAAATTAAGATATTTGATTCAGATGTGGTTCATTTTGCTCTTAAACTACAGCATCTACAGCAGAAATCCCACTACAAGCAAACCGTTATAATAGCACAGAAAACCAGCTTACTTTGGGTTACTCCAGACAGATTGATCTGAAATCCTAAAGAAAATGGGGGGAAAAAATGTTGAAAATCCATGCAAATGATGATAAACTTATGGATTTAAGTCATGGAATAAAATAATTTAAAAGGTAATTGTGACTTTTAACCTCATAATTCTGACTTTTTCTCGCAATTCTGACTTTGTATCTCACAATTCAGACAATTGTAAGATATAAACTCATATTTAAATATAATTTCGCAGTACTAAGATACAAGTCCAAACTGTGACATTTTTTTTTTCAATTTTCAAAAATTTTATTTTTTATTTATTTCATAATGCAAACAATACACACATATATATATACACAATATATATTAAGGGTGCAACGGATCAGGCTGCACTGTTCGGCACGCATGTGATTCGCAAATTAAAGGCAGAGTAAGTGATTTTTCAAAAAAAAATCGGGGCCGAATCACAAAACAAACTTGTAGCCAATCAGCAATAAGGGGCGTGTCTACTCGTGATGTGGAGGAGAGAGCGTTCAGTGCACGGGACGGACACTAGCCGAGCCGAGCGACAGAAAGATAGAGATGGCGGTTTTCTGTCGGGTTTGTTGCGCCGCACCGCGCCGCTCACGTCCGGTGTAGACACGGTGTAACATTGGCTTTGCTTTGTTTCACAGAACTAATCGTTGCCTGGGTTGCGTACGTATATGTGGGGCGGAGTTATCAAATTAGGGGCAAGACCCTTTTGGGGTAGGGGCGTGTTTGTTTTGGTGATTTCAAATAACAACATTGGCTACCAGAAATCACTTACTCTGCCTTTAACTGTTAAGTTTACACATTCAAGCAATTTGAACTCACGCGCTGTTTTCTGTGCGCTCAGCCGCTGCCGCACATACACAGAGAGAGAGAGAGACACACCGCGTGAACAGCGAATTGATTCCTCTTTCACATACACACAAAGTTAGGTTAAAATACCCGTTTTGGCAAGCATTCTAGTAAACACAGTCGGTTATGTCTTAAGTGAACGTAAACAGCTGAGAAAGAAACCGGATGCGTGTCAGTATAAGGTCCGTGCATTTGGTCTTAAAGAGACAGCAGCCAATAAATACCTGATTCTGTCTGCTAATCAAACAACACCACAGCTCTAAATAAGATGAATCTGTATTTAACTTGTGCAGTGAGCACTATTGTGTTATTTTACACTTAATTATTACATTTCTGCACCTCGATGCTACGGTTTCTGACTTTATTTGTAACTGTGTTGTATTAATCTATGCTTGTAATTTGTGTAATTGTTCTTGTTTACTATTATTACTAACTTTATTAGTTAAGCTAGTAATTTTTGCTGTGGTATAGAAGTACGTAAAGTAAGCTTTCACTAATTTTATTTTTTTTGCTGATCTGAAAAATTATCCGATCTGTGACTCAAAATCCGTAATATGATCCGAACCGTGAGTTTTGTGATCCGTTGCACCACTAATATATATATATATATATATATATATTTGTGAGATATAAACTTGCAATTTATCAAAGAATACTCAGAACTGTGAGATAAAAGTCACAATGACCTTTTTATTCCGAGGTGGAAACAAGCTTCTGTATAAACTGAACTGATGATGGTCTGAATAAGAGTGAAGTGTATGTGTGCTGCTTTACCTGTTTCATTCTGACACCTCCAGCATGTGCTGGAATCTGAATGAGGAGGAGAAATCATTCATTTACTAATAATCAGACCACAGTCAGACTGGATAGTATGAGACTGACCCGTTACGATCATCTTAATGCAAATACATGCTATAATGAACTCAAATTATAACTATAACTAAAATTAACACAAGAGTAGAAAATATAAAAATAAAAATGAAATTCAAATATTAAAAACTTTTAGTTTCAGCTAGTTGCCAATGCAACATTTCTCATTTTTACTTAGTTGATGTACTAAAATAACTAAAAGGAACTATATATATATATATCCACAACAAAATCAAATAAAATCGAATATAAAAACTTTAAAATTAACGTAAAACAGAAAATATAATTCAAAACATTAACAAAAACTAGAACAGTATTATTAATTATAGTTAACTAAAACTGTAGAAAATGTTAACTGAAATAAAAATATTAAAAATAAAGTCTAACAAAAATAGCAAACACAAAATACTAAAACTTTAACTAAAATTAACATTAAAGCAAAAATAATAAATAAATACAATCTACTTTAAAATATTAAAAAGCTATAAACAGTATTTGAATGATACTAAAACAACACTGAATAGAGTGCAGCGAAATATTTTTTTTACAACAAAATGTACACAACTCAGAATAGAACGTCTGTACAGTAGAATGCAGAAGAAGACATTTCAACACGCTTCAGCAATAAAAAAAAGACATGTATGTTTGTCTAGAGTCATTTGTGCTTATTAGTACGGTTGAACTGGATCATCGAAGCTCAGAGGCAAAGACATCGGTTAATAGAATGGGATTAAATACATAAAGCATATTTGTGTTGTTTAACATTTAATTATTGCAGGTTTGCGTCATATTCTGAGTTGCATTATTTTTATTCATTTTGAGGAATACTGAATCTGTGGGG